AGCAGGAAACAGCACATGCTTTTTATACCACTTATTATACAGACACTATGCAGAATGAAACCAATACTGCTCTTAGTATTTAACTCTACAAAATTGTGAACATGATCAACAGTTTTGATCTACCATCTGCTTTAACACCCAAAACAAGAGGAACAATTCACATATTGCCCAGTTAGATTTCATTATTGGTTCCTTAAGACTCTAATTACCACTTGAAAGTTAAAAACAAAACCATCTATCTTACTTTATATACAACTTCAGCACTAGATTATCAAATGCTATTTTCTAGCTCAGGGGTTGGCAATATATGGCTCAAGCCCTAGGGCTCTACCTATTCTTGGTACATGTGCTAGGGATGAGCAGTGAGGAGCTGTGCTGGGCCCAGAAAGCCTCCAGCTGTGCGCCCTTGCCACCACTGTTTCTTCTCCCTGCCTGCTAGCCTTACTCTCACCGCAGCATGGGTGCAGCTTCCAGCTGGTGGGGAGCTACTCTGGAAGAAAGCATCCGCGAGCTGCACGCACACTGCTGCTACTTCTCCCCGCTTTGTCCCCTGCTGTGGTGCAGAAGTGGCAGCAGCGTGAACTGAGCTTCCAGCTGCCCAGACCTAGTGCAGCTCCCCACAGGCTAGAAGCTGTCCCTGAAGAAGAGACAAGCAGTGCTGATGTTCACCTCTGGGCTCTGGAGTTGTGCAAATGTGGTGGCTCCAGCCAAAGCCTATGCCAACAAGAGCTCAGAGTTCATGGCACATGTGCCTTGTCAACTAAGGCTTCACTCATGCCTAGAAGAGTCAGCTGTAAACCAGTCAACATGCAATAAAAAATGGTTTGGTAAACTGGAAGGAGAACTGGGTTAGCTGTGACTGAGGATGGGCAGGCAAACTCACTGGTCTTTCTTGGTTTAGTCATCCACACAAGACATTAAAAAGGTTATGACTCTTGGTTCATGCTCTAGCACTTACTGGTAACAACCTGTTAGTGAGATTAGCAAAGCATCCCTCTTCAACTTTAAAGAAATATTACAGCAGAACGCTGACCCACAAAAACGCGGTCAGATACTGAAGTACTAGTTATTTAAACAGCCAGCCAGGGAGTGGATGGCTGCAAGGAGTGGCAGCAACACAGGTACAGTTCCCAGCTGCCTGGCCTTGGGTCGGGCTCAGGAAACCCCCCACCACCGCTGGTGTGCTGAAGCCACCTGGTTTGCATTGGCTTGGAACCGGGTTTTGAAGCCACAGGTTGGAACAAGGTGGTCAGCAGCTGATCTAGCTGAGCAGCAATTCTTTCCTTCTTCCTACTTATTCCTATTTAAACCTACTTCCTACTTGAACCTATGGCCTGTGGGGAGATGTGGCCTGTAGGTGGGTGCAGCCTGCAGGCCAGATACACTCCACAAAGCCCATGTGAACAGCTTATCACCAGAGTGCCTGTCAGAGCTCCTCATGAATTCTCTAAATTCAGCAGCAGGGGGAAGAAGGGACAAGCAGTGCTGATGTTCAGCTCTGGGCTCTGGAGTTGTACAAATGTGGTGGCTCCGGCCAAAGCCTGTGCCAACCAGAGCTCAGAGTTCATGGCACAGGTGAAACTGGCACAAATGCAGCTTTTGGCCTATTTCTGATTTTAATGTTTGACTGGCTTCTTAATCTTTGAATGGCATTTTAATGTTAAAATAGGTTGAACATCACTGTTCTACATTATGCTCAGTTCTGTGCATATGAACAAGGTATAGAAGTGTTATACTTTTTTTTTTTTTTTTTAAACTTACTCTCCTAATGAAGAGGGTTCACTTGGGGAAGAGTGTCAGTGCCTGACTGAAATATTTAACACCTTTTCCTACCAAGATTCTAAGCTTATTTATCGCTAAAACCCCAGAATGCAACTTACTCATTCCCAACTTCACAACTGACTTCTCTCATGCTGCATTTTGTATTGCTGTACTACATTTGGGAATCACTTTAGAAGGCAATCAGTTGGGAGACTGACTCTTAGCACAAGAAAAGTTACCTTCCGTTTCTTTTCTCTTGTAGTTTTATATCATAAGTTTCACTTGGCAGTTTCTTTCCAACATAACCGAGAAGCTAATTTATCAACAGCTTCTTCAGCTCTAGAGATCATCAATAAGTTACTGTACTTGTCCAGCTCATTCATCTCTTTGTAAAACTGAGCAACAGTTTGATATACAAGATTCTCACCTCTCTCTGAGTAACTGTTTCCATGATGGTACCAAATGCAGGAATTGTGGCTATCCTTACTGAGCTATACAAAGAGAAAAACGGTTAAGCTGTTTAAACATTACAAATTAAATTAATTAAAAATAATGCAAGTTCAAAATTAGTACTTTAAAGATGGATTAGTTTCTAGCAATGACAAACAAAAAAAAAGCAGACCAGGAAAAAAATGCTCAAAAGAGAGACAGGATTAACTCAATCTCAAGCAGAAACTCACAATTCAGGATCACTGGACAAGGTAACAAGGGCCGGAGCAACCCGCTTGTCAACTAAGGCTTCACTCATGCCTCGAAGAGTCAGCTGTAAACCAGTCAACATGCAATAAAAAATGGTTTGGTAAACTGGAAGGAGAACTGGGTTAGCTGTGACTGAGGATGGGCAGGCAAACTCACTGGTCTTTCTTGGTTTAGTCATCCACACAAAACATTAAAAAAGTTATGACTCTTGGTTCATGCTCTAGCACTTACTGGTAACAACCTGTTAGTGAGATTAGCAAAGCATCCCTCTTCAACTTTAAAGAAATATTACATCAGAATGTTGACCCACAAAAACGTGGTCAGATACTGAAGTACTAGTTATTTAAACAGAGATCACAGTTGTGCATTTGGACTACTTTGTACTTCAATATTACAGGCTTTAGTTTAATTTGAAAAAAAGACTTAATTTGTGTAGCTTTAGAGGGAATGTTTTCCCATTTGACTTAATGCTACTAAGGCCAGAAACAGAAAGAATTTCAGAATTAAGTAGCACTTGATTTGAAATATGAAACAGTGGTTTTTTTTTAAGTTTGTACGTTCATTCATATTTAAAATTAACACTGTGTGGTTTTTGCCTGGCCATTGCAAAACTGTCTTTACTTCAGATATTGCAGTAAACTATATTACCTGCAATTAAAAAGGAGTAACTTCATCTCCTTTTCCAAAATGTCCCAGTTTGATGCTGGAACAGCTATTGAAACTGATGTTTATTTCTTGGTAAGTATTAAGAGAGATGCTGGATGTATAAGACAGTCAGGAAACTTACATTTCAGGGTCACTGGAGAGAGTAATGAGAGCAGGAACAACTCTCTGAGCAACCAGAGTTTCATGTACCCCCTTCACCAACAGCTGAGTGGTCGGAGCAGGGGGGGGTATCACAGATGATGCACGGAAAGAGTGAGCACAGTATCATGGGAAGAAGAACGGCACAACCAAGAGAGAAAGAAAAACACAAAAAGCAAACCAAAATTAGAAGCTAAGCAAATACTGCTACACTAGTGCTTTATATATGCAGAGAGCATGAAGAAAGCTCCAGTGGCCAGACAGTCAGTACACACCTGAGAAACTACCTAGAGCTGTTCCAGCAGCCTTGTATGGTGCAATTTCTATATTTTTGGTTATTCTAAAACTCATCTGAGCCCTTAAAGTTTAACATGTGGTTTAATCACTAGACCATTTTAAATACTGAAAGGATGCAAATCAGACTTGGACTTTTAGTGTAAATGAACAGGTTTCAACTTAATGGGATTGCACTGTATTGCCAGCGCATGTCTGACAGGTGCAAAACAAACTGCCTTGCCAGGGAGAAGGCAGGTCTTTTTCAAGCACCAAACAGGAAGGAAAGGCCACTGCTACAAACACAAACTCTGCCTCAAATGCTTTTTGTATTTGCCAAAGCAAGCACTTTTCCAGATGCCACTACGCTTTCTTACAGTACAATACTTTAGGAATACTTTAAATATAGCAGCCATTAAGCAGTATGTACACATCCTAAAACAGTCCTTGCTGGTCTATGCAGGTGACAATCTGATAATCAGCACTATCAGATTTCAAATACTTCCCAAAACTCTCTCTACGTAAGAGATCAGAAATTATTTATTGCAATGAATCCCAAATTTGAAAAACAAAACAGTATGGTGAACCAATTCTTCCTTTCACCTGGAAATATTTGGAAATCCTTTCAATTCAGATGTCACAAGGGAATGTTAACAATCACTCCAGAAGATCTACATTACTTCCTCTTTCAGAACCTAGCATGCTGTTTCCCTGAATATAGTTAAGCAGACGGAAGTCTCTGTGCCTGGACAGCAAATCCTAAAGGAGAAATCCCATTTTTTTCAAGGAGTCAATCAAATGGGTATTTTATTTGCAGTATCTATAAGGTAGAAGGAAAGCTAACATACTTCCTATCTTATGCTGCAAGTAAGAAAATCCATATTTATTTTACTGTCTACTCAATTCATTCATTATAAAAAATGCAGAATCCTAACCTGAAGGTTTGGGGAGAACTTTGCAATATCTTCTGATCATATCAATATTATTTCCCACCCCCCACATTTGGCAGTGGTAGCAAACCAATTTTCTTGTCATTTTCAAACAGTGCAACCAGAGAAAAGAACAAGGCTAGGAAACGGGGAAAGTAATACCCTAACCATATTGTATATTATTAATAGTCTGTACTGGGATTTTTCATAGTGGTACTTCAGAACTCATTTCTGCATTTCATTATACAAATAAGCACTTGTATGCTTAAGTTTAAACCCTTATTCACTGATTCCACATTTTATTATAGAAATCAGTGGTGCAATACAGGGAGAAATGTGCTTTCCAAATGTCTGCCCTAGAAATAAAATGTTGGATGGATCCCATAATCCTTGGGCACTTTACAGCCCAACTGAAATCAAACAAGGCAGAGTGGGAGAGAATGCACAAGCCAGAATCGTTTTTTTACATTACAATAGAAAATAGCATAACATCGTGTAGCAAGAACCCCATAACTTACTACACTGGTATGAATATAGAATTTTCCCTTAGTTTGAAATTTGATTATAAAATTAATACTAAAAATACTCCCCAAAAGCATAAAGATTTCCCACAACTGTTACATGGAATACTAATGCTTTCTATGATTACGTATGATGAGGTCATCTGAAAACAGCCTCAAAATCTTAAGCAAATATACTGTTTCAAACAAGAAGCTGGGATTCATGTAATTAGTATACAATTAAATGCCATCTCAGTTCTGTGAGAGTTTGAGCTGCCAAAAAGCATGCTTTATTTTGTGTGTTACATTTGAATGGTAAGCCAAATTCAATTAAAACCACCACACAGACCAACAAAGCTCACAGCCCAACTAAACATGCATTGTGTTCAAACCAGTACCAATCAAACTTATTTGCATCAATGTTAAATTAGAAGCAAAGCACCAGCTGAAAGGGCAAAGTTAGATAACATACAACACATTAGTTTATAGTGAGATCAAAACAGCTGCATTTTTACCAAGTAATTTGATTCCACTATAAGCCTACTTGCTGTAGCGGTTAAAACACAGAAAGCCTAGAAGGTGTAGTATAGGACCTGCCAGCTGAGAGAAAAGGGATGGGTATTAAAGTGGCTTTATGTCACCTTTGTGCCCTTATAATCCTGAAGACACTGAGGATCCTTAATTTAAATTAGCATTTAGGCTTAAGCCATGGCAATCTGTCTCAGCTACCCAGAGACTGCTCTGCAACTCTACAGTGACTAATGAAGAAGTTCTCTGCTGACCTGCATCCCACTGTGCCAGTCCTCCTACATTAGGTTTTTGCAAGAGTCCTTGAAGAGTCCGACTATAAGGGTGGCCAAACACTGGAACAGGCTACCTAGAGAAACTGAGGACTCTCCATCTGTGGAAAATTTAAATAGCAAGTTGGACAGACTTTGCTGGGATGGCTGAGTCAGGAATAATCCTGTCTTGAGCAAGAGACTGGACCAGGTGACCTCATACTTCCGGCCCTTCTTTCCTATGATCCTGAAGCCCAGGAAATCCTCCCAAGGGAGGAACTAGAGCTTTTATCATGTAAAGGTCTCTGCCATTATTCAATAGCTACTTGCAAACTATTGCCATTTAAGAATCCCCATAAAAGGGATTTTTTTTTTTAAAGGGAAATCTCTAAAACTGGATATATGTGTATTTTGCTTCAAGAGAAGGTTAAAAAAGGACATTAGAAAGTAATCTGTCAGACATCATTAAAAGGCTGTTTAAGACATAACTATTCCTTTATCCCTCAATTTGGGAGGATGGAAGAAGCTCAAGCAACAGCTCTTTGTAACTTGATTACTGAGGTCTTTCAAAGACTTGCCAAGTAAAGGAAAGCTAAGCATTACTATTCTATTTGTGTCAAAGGTACAAACAAACATGAGATGACGTGAGGGATGACAAACCATTAAAGGTGGGTTAAGTGGCCAAATTAACATGGAAGAACCTGAAGCATAAAGACCAATTTAACCCAGGTCATACAACAGGTCTTTTTAACTTCTGTTCCAGTGGAACCATTGTCTCACACTTAACCTATATAGGTTTATTTTGGCTTTGGAGCCTGTTTGGTTTCATGGTTACCTTCTATTCCATTTGTCCTAAATTTACTGTACCAAGTAGGGCCTGATGTACAGGGCCAACAGCACAGAAGTCTTTTTTTTTTTGCCTTGAGTGTTACTCAAAACTATCTGGACCCCAAAGGAAATATTTCAAAAAAGAAAAAACAAATATTAGAAAAGCTTTACTGTTTTATTAAGTTCAGTGAGAGAGATCTTTAAAAAAAAAGCATTACAGTAGCTGGCAATGAGCTACTGATAACGTATCATCTGATACACGAGCTGCACATAAATACAATTAATAATAAAACATTTTCTCTTTACTTGGAGCTGGCCTACTCTGATCCTGTAACTGGATCCAAGTGGGTTCAATTCTATAGCCACGCAGAACCCCACAGTAAATCAAGGCATTTACTCATAGAAAAGCAGCAGAGTCACATATACAAAGAACAGAAACTGGTTGCATGGTGATAATACATATTTCAGGTGTGTGAAAGACAAAATACCCAGATATCTTGCTGTTGCTGAAATTGTTGAAGCTACTATTCTGAAACATTAGAACAGTACTGCTCAATCTTCTGACCCCGTAGGGCCAAATCAGGCCCTGTACCACCTATGCCAGACCCTGCAGGCTGGGATTGAGCTCCACACTATCCGGTGTGCCTGATCTGGCAGACAGGGCCACGATCTCCAGCATATGGGGTTCCACATAGGTCTAGAAATTTGGCACCAGGGGATTGGTGGTACTGCTCAGCTGCTGTCAAATTTTTGGACCTGTGGGGAGGCCCCATGGACCGGATGTCCTAGTGTTGGGGGCTGGATCTGGCCCGTGGAGTAAGCACTTCTACATTAGAATAAAAGATATATAGCTAACTTGTGAATTATGAAATCAAATCCAGTAAGTGTTTACTAGCAAAACACAAATGAGGTCACAGTTGTCATTATGAAACAATGAAGACTTAAGCACATTTTAGATCTCATTTAAAAATGTATTTAACTGGCTTGAACACAATTCAGCAATGCTTTCTCTTAATTAGCGGACATTTTTCAGCATGCAGTGATCAGATCTAATAATGAAATCAGAAGCAGAAGAAAACTACCACCACAAATTATTAAAGCATCAATTCTGTTCAGTGAAATGTCTGCTATTGACAGTACAGATGCAGAACCAAAACTGTGCAACACAATGATTTCCTGCTCCATCACACAGTACACAACCTATTTGTTCAGAAACATTTATAAAATTTAGAACAGATTATACACATTCAGATAATATAGTCCATACAGATTTTTTAAAGTAGTGCACTGAAATTTCAGGCTGTATGTATGCATTTTTATATTGCTTACCTCAAACATTCTAGCAGCTGTGCATCGAACAAGAGCTGAAGTATGGACAACTCCATACCACAGTACAGTTAACAGCAACTCATGATATGCTGGGTTGGCACTAAAAGAAAACAGAAGTCAATGTAATGCTATACATATAGAGGCCTACCTTATTACAAACTGAAAAGACATTCCCCAATTTCACTGTTTCCAGTCATGACATTTTGAAGACTAACACTTTTGGGAGTATCTAAATTCAGTTTTTGTGGCTGCTGGTAGGGGAAAATGGGTTGCATGCATATTCTTTGCAAAACTTCAGGAAAGCTACTTTGTTCTAAAACTCTCATTTAATCCAATGACAAATTACTCAAATAATTTGTATTTGACAATTTATTTTAAAATCATAGACATGAATTCACTACTTAAAAGTTTGAACTACCTATATATTGATTTTAACATTACATTTTTTTTTAAGTTTTAGAGCTCAGTTTATATAAAAACAAAAAAATATGCTCAACTTATCTGAACTATTCAAAGTTTTTTGTTTTTTTAAATAAAATTTTCAAGAAACACATTTAAAAGTTTATTCTACACTACAGGCACCTCCCATTTAACACTGTTTTGCTATAACGCTCGTTTTACATTGATACCTGATTCCACTTAACACTCAACAAGTTTCATTATAATGCTCACAGGCATCATACAGCTGGCAACAAGGAGTGTACACTAGCACCATAATGCATCCGCGGCACACAGCCTCATTGTGCAATTTAGTGCCAGTTTGTTTTTGTTGCCATCTGCTTCAATCCCTGCAGCTACCCCTCAAAACAATCCTCAACCAAGCTCTTCAAAAACCCCTGGAGCTGACACTAATCTTGACAGCCCTGATTCTGTCACTCCTTCAAGTGCTGAAGGAAGCCCTAAGAGTGATTTTGGTGGCTTTAGAAAGTGAAAAGTGAACCTGTATAGTTTATTAATTTCTTTTGCAATTTTGTACATTGTTTCAAAGTGTTAAATAAACCAATTACATACATTTATATGTCCAAAGTACATGATTTTATAGTACTAGTGGGGAGCCACATTAACAAATTATATTTATTTACATTAATTCTTATGGGAAAATTGGTTTCGCTTAATGCTGTTCTGCTAAATGCTCGGTTTTTTGGGAACCAATTAAGAGCGCTAAGTGGGGGTTGCCTGTATATTCCTTACCCCAGTTCCACAAAAGAAGCCTTCAGACTATCAAGAGGAGCATGCGAGAGTGAAAGCATAGTCATCACATCTTCCAAGAATCCAACTAACAGTTTGCGGTCTTCTTCCTAAAAGAAAGTATGCAACATAAATTGCATCTTTTGAGTTATACCAAAAAAGCTGGTTAAAGATTTAAGTGGGTTTAAAAAGACAAGAAGTTCTCAGGATAAAAAAAAAGAAAGGATTTTAACTGTCTTGCACTTTTATGGTTCAGTACAAGGAAAATTCATTTGCAAAAGATAATTCAACACCATTTCAATGAAACCAAATGAGTAACCATATGAAAGCAGTTCATTTTCTGGATATATTTTTCACTGTCCACTCACTGTAACCTGTAGAGATTTAACAAATGATCTATAATTAAAGTTTTCCTATCAGCATGCATACATGTGTCAGAAGAAAGATGTGCTGTGAAGGCTTTGTCTTCCTTAAATATTAAAAATGGCATTTCACAGCTACAACAACAATATACCAAAACTTGCTTGTTTCCATATTAACTGTTCCAGCTTTTTGGCATTTAAAGGCTGTCACCCCATTCCAGCTAAACAAATAAGCAAGAGAGCTACTATATTGTACATAATAAAGAAATGCATAGGATTGGCAGTTGCTGGCAAAGCTAGTACCATACAATTTGTAAAAGCAAGCATCAGACTGCACTGATGAAATATTTTAAATATAATAAGTTAAATATACTTTTAATAAATGCTTTCGGATATTGTTATATCATGTTCTGCTGTAGACATGTCCCTTCAATCATTAACACTTTTAAAGGATACTGTCACATGTTGTAAAAAGCGTTATATTTAGAATGTATTGCTTTTGTTTTTTAGTGGAGGAGAACTCAGCAAGAACTTGAGATACCAGACAACAATCAGAAGGACAGAAAACAGTCCACAATAGGAAAAAATATACAAGATGTGGTAAATCAATCAAGCCATTGGTGCTTTGCACATTCAGTGAATGACTAATTCATAAAATTTAGAAAGAGTTTCAACTAGTCTTTCAAGACCTATAAAGGAATAAAACCTGCATTTTTTGTTTTCTTAAATAAGTTTAAAAGAAACTCTCCCCTTTATTTCCTTTGGAAGACCACAGACTTTTCTATATACATTATAAAGGACCACATTAAAAGGTCTTGTTTATGCTACAGTTCATGTTAACTCAATTCATCCGACGCTTACAGTAGAAGTGGGAATTAATGTTTGTGTATGAGAATTTCTCGACTACAGTACAGCCAGTCATCCTGAAGTCTTTAAGAGGAGAGAAAATGCAAATTTCCAAATGTAAAAAGCAAGACGTTTTGCTTTTGAAAAAAATATTGTTACCTGAATATAACATGTAAGGACTCCTGTTGCATAGATGGGGACTGTGGCCTTTGTCAGCACTCCATTTCCTGCTGTGGAATCTAAAGTCATTGATAGAACTATCAGAAAAAGTTAAATCAAAATTCCATTAAGAATAATCAATATTAGGGCAACTTACCCACACATACACTTTTATTTAAAACTATTAAACATTTTAACAGGTGATAGAACTAAATTGCAGTTTTGTGTTCCAGTGACATGCTAGGCTTCAAAGCAGCAAAACTAAGAAGATATATGGCTACTATTCCTAAACCTCATGTGCACTAACAGATTTTTATTTAAAAATATCCAGGCTGTTGTTCACACTAGTTCAATTACACCACTGCTGGGAACACTGGAAAGCTCTCCAACTCTAAAGAATCTTACAGCACTGTCCCATTAGACAGGCTCTAACCATGTTTAATTATGATACTGAAAACAGCTTCCAGCGTTACTAATCATACAGCAGCACTACTAATGGTGGGAAGTTTTGGCATGTATCTGTACCAGTCTTAGATCAATTTAATGGGAAGGTGACTGTGCCAGTTCGGAGACTCAAACAAAAAGTGGGTGCCTAAAATCCTTATTTAATTATCCAAGCAAGGGGCCTACATTTCAAAAGTACTAAACAATCAACAGCTTCTTTTGGCATTTAAATTTAAGCAGGTGGCAGGAAAATTTGGAAAAGACTGCAGAACAAAAGATAAATAGGCAGCATTGTCAATTTAAAATTAAACTTCATTTTCAAATTTTGGGGCATTTTTACACATAAAAGTGCCCGATGCTGCATTGCTTGCAGTTGTATAAGCAGTGAAATCTGCATCAGCGTGCAGAAAATGTGAGCGGGATGCTTTTAACTAACACACAGAAAGTATTTTAGTTCAAAAGCATACCACCAGCATTTTCTGTGTGCTGATGCTCATTCTGCCACTCTATCAATCGAGTCTGCTCCAATGTGCAAGATCTCTGGCAAGTCTGGGCACAAAAACGTGTGTAAAAATGCCCTTGGATTCTAGACTTTAAATGTCAATCGTTCTTATAGAACAATTCTAGAGAAAAGCAGTAATTCTGGACTCAGTTCAGAAAATGACTTCTTTTTTTTTTTACACTGATAAAAATGAACACACTACTCACCAATATTTTCTTCTGACAGTCTTAAGATTTCCTGGAACTGCGGTTTTACCTATAGAATGGGTATGAACCAAATTGAAGAAAACCTTTCATAAATCAAATCATTCATGTTTCTTAAAGAGTTAAGTAATCAGCAGAGGAAATTCTGAAGACACTGAGAGAACAATGCTTTAAAATAGGTGTAGGCAATGTTTTGCAGCAGAGGGCTGCTTTGCTCTTAGTGCTGGCTGCCCACCCTCTTCCCTGCCACAGCGTTGGTGGTGCCACTTCCTGCCACCTAGACAAAGCCCTTCACTATACACACACACATGCACATGGCTGCCAGGCAGCCTGGAGAGCAGGTCCCGCAGGTAAGTCTGATGGGGGGGTGGGGGTGGCAGCAAACTGAGGTCCCCATAGGGAGGGAGCTGGGCAGGCCTGGGGGCTTCTGCCCAGTCTGGGTGGTACATGGGGCTTGGCGCCATGCACAGTTGCAGGGCCCAGGTGGGGAGTGAGACAGAGCCGCAGGTGGCTCGTCTGGGGGGCTAGTGTGGGGCCAATTCCACTGCTGCAGGTATTTTGGGGGGGTAGGGGTAGAGAGTGGTACGTGCCCCCCAGATCTGTGCATGGGGTGGATGCGGGCTGCCCGCTGCAGGCTTGGGCTCTTCACCCTGTGTTCCCACTGGGGCCTCCACAGCCCTGGTGGGCAGGACCTCTGCCCTGCCCTGCCATGCCGGCAGGGCCAGATGGGCTGCAGAGGCCCCTGGGGGAGGGCAGCAGGGCAGGGATCCATAAGCCTGTAGCAGGCAGCCTGCACCTGATACCCTCCCACCACAGCTCTGCTCTGGCTGTACCACCCACAGGGAAGGGGGAGTCGGGTCCCGTGCTGGCAGGAGTAGGGGGCTGTAGACCTGGGTCCCTCGCCCCATAGCCCTGGCAGCTGGGGGTCCTCTCTAGCAGGGCTGGGGGTGGGGAGTGAGAGGTACCAGCAGGGCCATGGGCATGTGGTTGGGGAGTGAGAGGCCTGGACCTGCATCTTGGTGAGTGAAGGGGGCAGGGAGAGCTCTGATTTTCCATGATAAAAAACCCAAAATCAAATACCTAATTTATAGGTATTTAGAATTCATTTTATTATAGTGATTGAGGCATTGGTAGGCATCCAAACTGCTTTAAAATTGTAAATGTATCAATAAAACATTGTGTTCAACTGAAACATATACACACACTATATACATATACACACACACACACTCTCTCTCTCTATATATATATATATAATGGTGTTTCATTTTAATCACAGATTTTAGGGTTTTCATCAGAGAATTTGCAATTTTTATCAGAGAAAACCAGGTTCCCTGCTTATAACTAAGCATCTTATGCAAAGTGATGTAGACAAGGTATTAGACTTCAAGTGCTGAAGTCCCTTAGGAATTCACATTGTCTGGCTCCATCTAAGCTTGAGCCACAATAATTATGTTTAATGCAAATGAAAATTGAAAACGCTAAATTTTTACAGCCTGAGTCAAGTATCTCAGCTAATTTCTTCTCAAATTTACTGAAAACTCTTCCTGCAAGCATAAGCTTTAAAAAAAAAAAATCTATAAAAATGCAAGGCTTCTCTTTCTGGGCTTAATAAAAGTGATTCTAAAATTAAAATTCCATAATTAATTTCTTATTTGACTTATGACTCTATAGCACCTGCATCATTCTTTGTAACTATACCTTTTAGAAAGGAAATTATTGTATGATAATGATTTAGGGTAAAAATTCACTGCAAGTTATCTAGACAGGGGTAGAATAAACCCCCCTAGTCTGCCATCAAGGTTCACATATTTGCCCGCAGTTATTTTACTAACCAAGTCATACATAATCTTTTAAATATTTAACCCTTTACAACCCAGGGGCAGGGGTTAAACATAGAGGGGTGGGACCACCCCAAGCCTAGGATAACCAGACTCAGGGAACTGGGTTGAACTTCTGCCCCAAGGCTGCTCTGAAGGCTAGCAGGAGGGGAAGTGGGAAAGAAGAGCTGTAATATGTAGGCCATTTTGCTTGGAGCCAGAGTGGCTGGAGCAGAAGAAAAGCCTTGCTCCCTGATATGCTTCAAGCACCATTGAAAAAGTTGAAAGAGGCTCTACTGAAAGAGATTGTGGAGGGGCCCAGTCTGAGTGCAGCTGGGAGAAGAATTGACTTAGACCCCAACAGCAAGAGGGTACACCGAAGTGGTGAATGTTTTTGTGCCACCTGGAACAGCTTGGGCTGTGCACAAGGTGAAGACTCTCACTCCAAAGGATCCTTGTGAGACTGTTTAGAATTGGGGCTTTATGTTGCATTGTTGAAAAGGGGTAATTTTATCAGGTTTCCATGCAGGGTTTCCTGGGTTACATTACAGATTGCACTCTAATGCCCATGTGTGTAAATAATTCTGACTTGTTTGTACCCTTTTGTTAAACCGAGGTACTGTTGGGGACACAGGGTCACCACAGTCCCCACTCCCCTCCCTTCCCTCCATGTACCTCCCATGAGAGGGGTTACAAAAAGGTCAGACCTTTGTTTACTATAGATCCTGCATTTGTTAAAACATTTTGAAAAAGCAGAATAGTTATTTGAAATCAAATATTAATGAGGGACACAGATGACACCAAATTAGTTGCAGCACACAAAATATACGATATAATAAACTATCCAACTCAACGTGTTCATAAAGGAAGAGCCAGAAAGTATGGCTAAATCGACTCTTCCCCCAGTACAATGCAGAATAGCAGTCTGGGAACCATACAATCAGGGATTGAGCAATAATGCAAGTTGAGAAACAAATTAAATCAAAGAGAAGTGAAGACAAAGAAGACAACAAGGCCTGGAGCATTTTTAAGAACCGCAACTGAAAGTGTGGGTCAGCACTTTTTGATACTGGAATTATGATGTAAAGTGCCTTTCACATGCCCTCTTGCTACATGTACACAATACCAAACACCACATATTTCTGCATTTAAGTCCAAGCTAGATAAAGTATTGTGTTACCTTAGTGTTTGTGAATATTTTCCCAAATGTCCTGCAAAGACGCCAGAAAAACCTGGAAAACTCATGGACACAAGCAGTTGAGGCAACATTGATTTTGCCCACTATTTCTATAAGCTGTGGTAGCCTAAAAACAGTAAACAGAAGCACATTAGAAACTAGCCATCTCTTTCTCTTCTCTCTGATAACCCTACACATTTGCTGCTCTTCCTATACCCCACACCAATATGCTGCATCATTCCAGTTCTAATCCTGGTAATAATGTCTAGCACTTGAACACAAACACTGTGAATTTGTCACTCAAAATGTATTTGTAGTAGGGCTGTGCAAAGCTTCAGTAGCCAATTTGATCTGGAGGAGATTCGGCTCAATTCGGTGGCCAAATTTCCGAATAGAATTGGGAGACTTGTTAATCTCTCCGAATCAAAATCAGAAGCCTCCGAATTGATTCAGAGAGATGCGGAGATTCGGCCATAGACCGTACAGGCAGGCACTAGGCAGAGCTGGTGGGAGCAGCTGGACAAGTCCCAGCTTTAGCTGGCAGCCCCAGGAGAAGCCGCGGTTCGTCTGGCTGCTCCCTCGCCTGCTCCTCCTCAGGGGTGAGGCAAGTAGTGCTAGCTGCCCTGGGAAGTCACAGGGGGCTCAGGGAAAATGATCAGGGGCTGGGGGAATGAACAGGGGCTTCCTCCCAGCTCCTGGTTCGGTTCCCCAGTTCCCGGTTTGATCCACCAGCTCCCAATCATTTCCCCCAGCCCCTGCGGCTTCTTCAAGGGCTGCCAGCACTGTGTGCCTTGCCCGGGGGGGTAGGGGGGGCGGCAGCTGGGGGAGCAGCCGGACAAGCCACGGCTTGAGCTGGCAGCCCCAGGAGAAGCTGCGGGGGCTGGGGGGGGATGATACCAGGAGCTGGGGGGAAGCCCCTGTTCATTTCCCCAGCCCCTGATCAATCTTCCCAGCTCCCGGTTCAATCCCTGCACCCCCGTGGTTTCTTTTGGGGCTGCCAGCACTGCCTGCCTCACCCTGGCGGGGGGCAGCTGGGGGAGCAGCCAGATGAGCCACGGCTTCTCCTGGGGCTGCCGGCTCAAGACAGCGCTCATCTGACTGCTCCCCCAGCTGCTCCTGCCAGCACTGTCTGCCTGTATAGTCTATGGCCAAATATCTTCGGATTTGGCCGAATCGAACTGGGACAGCGATTCAAATAACTGAATTGAATCACCGTCTCTCCAAATCGCTGGATCTGAAATGAATACTTTCTACTTCACACAGGCCTAATTTCTAGATCATGAAGAGATCTTTATGCACTTTGGTACTTTTTATACTTTTTAGAAAAAATATTGTTTACAATCACTTAAAAGGCTGCGTTTTCCTGATCACGTTCAGCTTTGAAACTTGACAAAAGCCAAGAATTCCATTTTAAGGTATAGAAAGTAAGAAAAAAAAAAAGATAGTAAAAATATTAGAAAACAGATGACTTGCACTTTCCACATCTATAAACTGCTTACAAGACATGAAAGATTTGGATTGTGGGACAAAGAGTATAACTCACAATTGATTGACAACCCATAACAAAGTCTCCCAGCCTGTGGTACCCTCATGTTCCAGCTGGTAATCATAAAGTTGAAGCAACACTGCTAGCTGTTCACGACTTCCAACAATAGTGGCTACATCTTGCAGAGGTGATGCAGGCCGTGGGAACCTAGTCACTGTAATAGCAAAGGGAAAGTAGCCACAAAGAAAACAAGAAAAAGTAACTTTGAGGTGATGTCAGTAGATGTAAGCTAGTTATTAAACTGAATTTTTAAATCAATTTGCACAGTGATCTGAACTTCTAACACTGTCAAAGTACTTAATTCTTTGTAAAGCATAATTCTTATAATAGATGGGGAAATGGAGATAAAAGGAAATCCCAAAGATGACACAGCAAATCTGCAGTAGAACAAGGAATAAAAAACTAGGTCTCTTAATACCTAGTGCTATCCTTTAAGCCACAAACAAATGTCTTCTTTATATACTCATATAAAGATAATTTGATGTTTTGATAACCAAACATTTTATAATTCCATTATCAAATAAAATTAATTTACAAAACAACAGGACAAAGGAGAACTTTGGTCAGGCACTATTGAGAGCTCTGTGGATCTACAGGCTAACAACAAAACTACTAGCCTAAGAACAGTTTTAAAATGCTAACTAAATTGCATGAGAACTTTTAATATTCTCAGATCTACAGCACGGATACAAACATAAAACAAAACATTAAAACTGTGAGAATATGATCTCCCTCCTATAGCTCAACTCAAAAGCACGGTTGGGCTTCCATCAAATGTTACCAGATGAATGGGAAGTGCACGTATTAGATTCTCTCCCTTTGTTATGGACAAATGGTAGAATATCTTATGTCCCAAACTTAGCAATATTCAATTTCAGCAGGGGAAAGGTTCACCTTTGAACCATAATCAGTGAGCAGTTAACAGTTATGTACTTCACTATGACACAGTTAACTTCCCAAAGTCTATTTTTACATCTAAAATATTACCCATTTTTGCATGCTTACATAAAGTTATTGTTTGTATACCGCTAACTGTCCAAACATGTCATATACCGTTACATGTTTCTTATATAGTAATAATCAAGAAAAGTCCTGAGATGTGTGTAATTAAGCATGCTTTTCAGTCTGGGAGATGGTTGGAAATATTCAATTCTCATCAAGCTGTTGTGTAGGTAATCAATAGCTGAAAGAATCACTATTAGTTAAAAGTTTAACACTTCACTAGAGTGTTTTACTCAGGAGAGACTATGGCAGCAAAAGCTACTTTAAAGGATTTAAAAGTTTTTTCTGGCTGTTAGTAAAGAGCTATTCTTTCAGAGAAAGCTTCAGGAAGTCCAACTTGTAGTGCTTTGTATTTGCCTTCTGAGCTTTTTATTTTTAGAAAATGCTTATAAAAAATAAGGATGATTCCTTTTAAATAAGTTAATTTAACTGGTTTCAATACAGAAGGGGAGAATGACAAATATATTAAATCCGGATACATGAAAACATCATTTAGAGATCAATCATTTTATAATATGTAATATTTGCATTAGAAAGGGTGGCTTACATTTTTCAGAACTCACTTGATGGCTCATGGAGCAAAATAGGTCTTTAGCCTCAAAAAAAGTCACCAGATTATGTAAGCAACATACCCAAACTGCACAGCTATTTTGAACAAAGACCATGCTCTGCCTGTACCTTGCAGCATCAACTGCTGCCGAGTAGAAATATTTCAGAAGATGCAATGTAATTTCTTTTAGATTGAATCGATGCCATTTTGAAATTCCTCATTCTTCTGCTGTTCATGTAGATTTGCTAGCCATTTTTAATCGTATTAGCTCAATGATTCTAACTAAGCTGAATCCTATGCCAGTAACTTATCTAGGGCTGACCCTACTTCTCAGAAAAATGATGCATTTTTCCAAATACGGGGGAATGGAACAAAGAGCACATGACAAAGCCTCACATGTTCGTAATAGGTGTACTATATATATATCTATCTATCTATCTATCTATCTATCTATCTATCTATCTATCTATCTATCTATCTATCACTGACTCAGCTATACAATTCCACAGCACAGAAGAACTTTTGCAAGGACACCTAGCTTAGAAATGTATAACAGCAGAGTATGAATGGGAATGATTTAAGCTTATTGCATTACATTTTCCACACGAGAATCTCACATACCCATGAAGTCCCATTAGTATACACTGTTCCTACATTTCTTCCTATGCTTCAATATCATTTTAATATCTGTACCTTGTTTGCAAAGAAAACAATCTTTCATTGAATTGTTTGAACTGTGTACCTTCTATCTGCGGCACATCGCCTTGGAGCTTAGCTTTGCTTGTGAAAGGTGCGTTTTGTAGTACCAGTGCAAACAGTGAAGGAATCAAGGACTGCAAAGCAGAAAGATACAGGTGGAGTTTATGTTCATCCAGCCCATGCTCTCCTTCCTGAAACATGTATGAAAGATTCATTAGGGTTTTTCATACTTTTTTTTGCTGATTTGCTGTTTAAGCATCCGTTTATCCTCTATCACCCCTGTATTTCAGGATCTCTGAAAAAGTATGTATGAAACATTGCTGATACACTACTTTCTAACCTGTAATAAGACTTTACTTGTGCGTCTTTACTTATACAAGAAAGGAAAAGGAGAAGAGAAATCAAACAGAAGATGCAATCAAGCTATAGTTGTTTAGTTAAAAATCTGTGCTATATTCAAAACTGTATTTCAATTTTCTGATAAAAATGATTTACTTAAAGCCTGTTTTGATTCTAGGACCTGAGAAAGTGATGAATCAAAGCATTTGGGATTTTTTTCTTAAACATTTTTTTCTTAAACATGAACATAGTCACCTACATGGTTCTTCTATTTAAACATAATAAATGGTATGCATTTCAATTCTGAAGTGTGTCCATCAGATAAAGCTACACAGAAAACTCCCAAATGCAGTGGACCCTGAACACCTACCCTGAGTAGTTTTTCAATCTTATTAAGCAGCGTAGGTATAAGATGAGACTGTAAATTTCCCAGTTCTGTAGTCCAGGCAGCATAGGCAGGCAAAAATACCTGATGTGTTGCACTAACTACTCGTTCTGAGGGATCTCCCAAAGCTGAAAGCAGCAGTTCAAAACCCTGGCAGAACATAGCAAACATGGATTAGGAATGTCACATTTTACCCAATTTCCCCTCAGCTCATATTGAGAAATCACCTTACGATACAAGCACAGACTGGAAAGAACACACAGGCTAGGTTACTACCACTTGGTATTTTTCTAGTTACCGCATCTATATGCAACAGTATTGATGTAATACAACACTGATACAGGCATTCTTCCATACTCTTCTGCCTCAACTTGCAATGGGAATGATCTAGAAATGAACCCGAATGAACTATAACATTTTGAGTTTGTATGAGGCTCATCCAAGGTAACACTGATACCTGAGCGTATGAATAAACTTTTATTTTAGCCACTTTAAAAGGGAGAGGGAATGTGTAGCAGCAGTTACAATTTAACTGTTAGGTCAGCCTCATCCTCTAAGGATGTACTGGGTAAATCACCCCAACTTTATCCTTGAATGAAACAGGGTTAAAAGCTGGAGTAGTTTTGCTACATTGGGAATGGCTACATAGGCTACTAATAAAATTGTTACATTCATCCATACCCTTCAAATGTAATTCTCTTTTTAGTTATGGTGAATAGCTAGTGTAACTTACAGGTTTTGAATAATTGTCCCTAATTTATATGAGAAGTCCTAAAATATCCAAAAGTACTGCATTCAATCCTGAATAATACCTGTTGATACTTGTCTGGATCATCAATGTATCCCATAATAATGCCAAGACTTTTGATCACAGCTTCTCGTACCAGATCTGCCTTATCTTCCGTTAGCATCTGTTGCAGCATAGAAAGCACCAGTGAGCTACGAATCTCTTTCTGAAAGTAAGGAGAGATATTTTTGCTAAATAAGATAAATCCATATGTGGTCCTTGGGTACATACTTATATTCCTACACATACTCTGGATTTCAAACAATGATTTTTCTCACAAAATAACCCAAGGACAGCTTTCCACGTTTTTACTGGTGAGGATGTTGCATAGAAATAGAGTCCTAATAACGTATGGAATAAAGTATGTTGTGTTACTACACACACAACTCCGGTCCTTTTAGAACATTAAACTGACGAGAATACACAATCATTTCCTGCTGAATTATTACAACTACCTGTAATATTTTAGGATGTGCTTGGCTATCACAAAGTATCAGCAACTGATTTACCATAAGGACTTGTTCTTAGCCATTTCAATGTCAAAGGTGGCAAACAACTTGGCAACAATGCAGGTTAGGTATTTGTTTAAAATGAATTGTGAAATTTTGACCAGGGCTGGGAACAGCCTGGTGATGATGCAAGAAATTCCAGATTCAGGAAAGTCACAAATTTCCATCCTGCCTGAAGAAAAATACACCGTTGGACTGGCTCTCTTCCTCTACTTGTTCAGTTATTGGGGAAGGCAAATAGGATAAATGTGAACCTCACTTCAGAAACTGATGCCTCTCATAAGAGAGCAGAAAGAGACCTGCTCCATACTCCTGTTCCTTCACCCCTCCTTTCCCCATCTCTTCCTGCAATACCAAATCTGGGAGAAGGCTGAAGACCCCATGGAGCTGGAAGAGAACGAGAGGAGAAGCTGGGGGGGATGCTGATATGTGAACAGAAAGGATAGGATTGATTTGAGGATTGGTGGAAAAGATTACAATGCTGGGCAAGGGAAAGTATCACTATAGCAAAGCAGCAGCAGGGGTTAAAGTGCACCTTACCCTATAGATATGGGGGAGCTGTCACCACTCTCATATACACCTCCCCAGAGGGGAGCAGTTACAATGAAGATGCCTTTCCTTAAAACAAAACGAAAAAGGTAAAGTAATGATTTTTGGGTCAACCTCATGATTTTTGATTCCGGTGGGCTGGCAATGCTGAAATTAAATAGTAAATTGGTTTGGGCAGGTAGCAAAGATTAAGCTAGATTTATGCTATTTTTCTAAATTTGAGAAAAAAAATCTAAATGCAACTAAAGCCAAAACACCACACAGAATGTAGTCTCTACCAAATAGCAGAGGCCAAATATTACTACTCAGCAGTATCTGACTTATGCCAGGTCTCTTTCCAACACGTAGAAACACTATCTTCTGATATTTCTACAAATAGCAGTGTTGTACATGAACACCTTTCAAAATCAAGTTAATACATTTTCTCAGCAATGGAAAAAAAATCTAAAAAAATATTATAGGCCTTGAAACAGGAAAGCATCTATATTAGAGTGGTTAAACACTGGAACAAACTACTCAAGAGTAGCCCTGGGATCTCCAACACTTTTACGTGGTTAGACAAACACGCTTGGCTGGGATGGTTCAGACTGGAATAATCCTCCCCTGGACAGGGGGAGGGAACAGAAGACCTTTTGAAGTCCTTTTAGCTCTGTTCTTTTATTATTTTATATTCAAGAAAGCACTTAAATATTTGAGCAAGCCTCGGGATGAAACAGAGATGGGATGAATTTTGTGCTGAAGATTTTCTGTTATTTTAATCTATTTCAGAAGCTCCATAGTTTAGCTAGCTCCTGACTAAATTCTGTTTCCCATGCATATGGGTGTCACCCTTGAGGTTAAAGGCTCGTGTGTGCCAGAAGAACTGTGGTAACAGCTGTCAATTTTTTTTTTTAAATCGCCCTGCATGTCTCAACTTGGTCTACAAATACCTGGTCCAAACAGGGTTTGGCTTGTCCATGAGTGTGGATAGAATGCCCCCTCACTTTTAACTCAGCCAGAGCTACAGTAAGCTTAACTGTAAGCTATTTTGCAGTGTAGATGAGGACAGGCTGCATTATCTCATTCCAAGGTAAACTCAGAGGTATTTTAAGAACTTTTTCCATGCTTTGTTGACTATCATTTGTGTTGAAGCAGCAATATTTCTTTATAGCAAGCTTCCTGTTCCATCCCCTCACATCTATGAAATCACATAATCTCGCATGTGTGCCAACGTTTAATTATATGAAATACAATGCTACAGGAGTCCACAAATTCCCCATACAACATCCAAAAAATTATTTTTCCATTTCTCTTTCACACAAATGGGGTACAGCAACATTCAAAACCATTTGTTATGTTTTTGGTTTTCTTCTCTCTCTCTTTTTAAAACAGGGAGAAAGCATTAGCCAAATACTTACAGGAAGGTAAGGTGCTAGAGCTCCACAAGACTCTGCCACTAGCAGTCTTCTCTCCGGGTATTTATGATTGATCTGGTAAAGAGAATTGGCAGAGTTATGTACCCTATTGCAAGCACTCCTGAAGAGGTCACCAGCATGGGTGCAATATACCAGATTTTTCTTTTTTTGAACACCAGTTATCTGTTGGGGAAGAGAAACATGCCCTTTGTTTCCCTGTGCTCTTGTGAGAGCATGAAGGACAAGACAGATCTTCAGCTCCCTTACAATTTCAAGGCAGTGCTGCTAAGTGGGGAATCTAAAAACAGGGGAGAGAAAGTAGACTGCAAAATCCACACGGAACAACTATCAGAGAGATTATTTGCTGCAAGCTTAGGAATCGTTCTGAGTTTGTGTCTGTGTGGGTTCTATTGGAGATGACTGTGAAACAGTTTCCCCTCCAGAAGGTTGAAAATTACTCTCTTGAACTTGGCAGGTGGCTTAAGAGATGGGTACAAGCCAGGACAGTATATGACAAAGATCAGCATGTTCATCCACAATGCAACCTAAGAGATTTGATATCAGAACATTTCTGAAGCAAGCAGAGGGTGTTTGCACTCTGCAGGAACAAGCCTTGGTATTCAGTTGGAGAGAAGCACCAGCCAGTTGGAAATACAGGAAGATGTTATCCATGTAGATACTTTTTGTGAACAAATGGCTTCACTTTTTGAAAGTCTGTTTTGGGGCAATGAAAAAAAAATGGTTTGGGTCCTGTCAATATGATAAAGAAGAGTTCTTGATAAATCTAGGGGATGCAGTTTCTTTTCTCTCCTTGCACGGTGTTAGGTTGGGCAAAGACCAGGCAGATTGCTTAAATGGTGTAGATTAATTTTCAAGCCATCTTTGGAATCATCTTTGAACACAGCCTTAGGTCTCCTTCATTCTGATATATATGAGTCCCTTCATATATATGAGTCTTGAGGTAAGCTTTAGGTATTTATGAGACATTCTTCATGGCTTAACTGATGGCGCCAAAGACCTTTTCTTTCTTTTTTCTTTTCTTTCTTTCTTTCTTTTTAATAAAGATGGAAGCAGCTCAAGGATCATTGAAAAAGGCTCAAATGGAGGCTCCATAAGCCTCAGGAGAACTAAAGGCCCCAAGCAAACCAGTTCTTTGACTTGTTGATAATTGTGCAGCATCTGACAGACATGGATATCAAAGTCCTGATTGAGAAAACTAACAGATGCTTATACTGGAACAGAGAACCAAAAAATCTGAATACCTGCCAGGCATCTTTGAAAGATGGTTATTAA